CTGCAACAGCTGCTGTGTCTTGGGGGAGAGGATCCAGAAAGAGTTGAGAGAAGCTAAAGGCTTGGGAATTGCCAGTATGTAGGAAAGACTGCGTAAACTGTGGCTATTGTGTGAGACAGGGAGAGAAAAGAAAAGGCAGAGAAAAGACTACTAATTGTTTCTGAGCACACACAATTTGCATGTGCGTCCTGCTGGCTGCTGTGTTTTCATTACAGTGGGGCTCCCCTGTGGCACAGATGATGTTCCTGCCTGAGGCAAGGGATCCCAGCTGGTCCCTGTGCTGTCCTGTGATGCCCCCGAATCTGGGCCATCTGTAGCTGCCCACCTGGGAGGACAATCTTCACTGTCTTGATTTGTGAGAATGAAGATATTAACAAACAAACAAACTTTATTCTGACTTCTGATTCTGCTAATCTTCCTAAACTAAGAAGATGTGACAGGGTTGCCCAATGCAGGTCAGAGAATAGTGGAGGCCACATAGTTAGGTTTAAGGCAAGAGACTGAAAAATGCTTCCAATTGCAGGGTTCAACCTCTTACTCCCGCCCCCATCTGGCCTGACACTATCCTTGAGCTTGCTGTTGGGCACTCTTCCCACAAAACTACGACTATTGGCACAGTCTGCTCAGTAATGCCACCTTCTCCTGATGGAGGCAGCACCTTTGCTACCACAAGCAGATAGGAGCTCAGGTGGAAGTTACTGTTCTGTTTGACTTTCTCCTCCCTCCCAACTCTAGCCCAGAAAACCAAAGGGGAGTTGCTGTCTGCTTAGATTGGCCCTGCTTGTTCGCCTCACCCAGGGTGTGTCACGAGTTCTTCCAGGGATTTTTGTTTTCTAATGAGCGGGGGGAGTGTCTCCACTGTGCTCTGATCCTGTAAAGACCTGAGCTGCAGCTGCGGGAGGCTAGGTCTCCGCCACGTGCAGCAGCCATTTTGGCAGAATGGAGCCTATAGAATGAGAAACGGAGCAAAGAGAGAAGAGCAGTTGTAAGAGCCTATATTCTCTTTTTCTGGGCATCCTCAAGGCAACTTCCATGTAAGCCTGGATCTAGGACCCAGCGCTGGGCCTCTTTTTTGCTGAGGCCAACTTAGTTTTCTTACTTGGACATGCACACAGTGGCCCAACGCAGAGGCCCTTCCTCATTCAGCTGGCCTCAGGGAACTCAGCTCCAAAATGTGTTCGGTGCTTTTAGGTCCAGCTCTTCATCACTGTGTCACTGCCTTTTCCTGTATGGCCCCCTGTAGCCTTTCTACTCATGTGCACCAAGCTCCCGTGCCACTTAGCTTATCTCCTGTAACTCCATTCCTCCTCGTTTTTACTCATTCTCTTCTATTTGTCTGGACATATGTGTATTTCTTCAGAAATACTGTAGGTTCCTCGGAGGGCCAGAATCTCTATACTCTCCAACTCCTGTTGCCTATTATCTTAATTCACACACAATAGACTCTCCATAACTATTTGCTAAATAATTCAAATAAGAATCCCCATCTCTCTGGCAGATTATGCCTGACTAGTGGGAAGAAAATGAGTAAATTTTCTTTTATACCTTTGCTGGAGCAATGGGCAGCTCTCTGACTTCTTTTGCCATCACGAGTTCTTCCCTCTCTGTATTTAATGCCACTACCGCACAAGCACTGCCCTGTGAAGTGATGGCTGCATGGGACTGGCCAGTGGGGCTCTGGTCTTTCCATATTTATCTTCCCTCCTCTCCAGCCAACACACATACATTTGCAATCTGAGTTAAAGCCTGGTATTGCCATTGTATGTGCACCTTAGGTAAGACACGTCTCCCTCTATAGAAATGTGGGAATCTTCCTTATTATAGTATAGTATAGTATTTATATCTGATTCTGGTAACTAGTAAATTTACCTCATTTGACAAATGCTTGTGTGACACTCACTAAATGCCAGACACTATTCTGAACACTTTATTAACTAGTTTCTCCTCATAACAACCTTGCCAGGTAGATACGATTATTACTGTCAGTCTCATTTTACAGATGAGGAAATGGGGACACAGATGATTAAGGGACTTGCTCATGGTCAAAGTGCAGTGGGAGGCTGAACTTGGAATTTGAAATAGGCAGGCTGGCTCTGGAACCCATGTCACCACTGTGCCCTGCTGTCTCTGGATGTGATCAGGGCGGGGTCTGCACTGCACACCTAAGTCACCTTTCTAAACACTCAGGCCCCTCCAGAGCAGGAAGCGTCTTTGATCTGACCTTCCTAGCAATTTGGCTTCACGTGCTTAATGTTTCTGGGCTCATTGATTCATTACCTATGGCTTGAATATAGGTTTATTTATTACTCTGTGCAGTTAATTGTTCACATTGTAATCAACGTCAGTCCTAAAATTTGGCTCCTCGAAATATATTTTCAAACAACCTAGGAACCATGCCAAGAATTAGCTCTAATTACACATCATACCAGTTTTGAGTACTAGAGATGACTCAAAAGCAAAATGTGTGTTATTTGAAATTATTAAATGGATCGTAAATAAAATGTGATTTTGCCCAAAAGAGGGATGAAATTGCGTGTCTCTCTTCTCTTTTGTTTGCCCTTCCTAGGTGTCTAGGATCATATGGGACAAGTCATGATTTCTAGACTTTTTCTTGAATTACGATATCTTTTTTTAGCTGCCCATAAACCACCACTTACTGTTCAACAAAAAAGAATCAAATTCAAACCCCACTCTGTGGGTTCACCTTCAATGAACAGAGCAAACAAACAAAAAAGAAATGCATGGAGGAGAGCTGTTTATTTGATGCAGGGGTTATTCATAGCATAGTGTTTGGGTACTTTTTGGAGACAATTCTAGTTGTCTTGGGATATTTCTAAATTTAATTCCAGGAATAAAGTGTTTATAAATAGTAAGCATAAAAATGAATGCAATCGTCCCAGCCACGTCCTTATGTAGTTTCAATGGCCTCCCCTTGCAGCTACCAACTCCTTTGAGTGGTTAATTGGTTATCTGGTTGGGTTAAGTTCGTGGTTCTCAACCTCATCAGACCCAACACCTTATCTTTGGACAAATATTTTCAACCCCTTTTATAATTCTTAAATGAACTTCACAAATAATAAAACCTATGTACAAAAATGTTCAAAACATAAATATAATGCCTTAGCAATAATTTAAAAAGAAATAATAAAGTAATTTATAATGATAAAATAACCATTTTAATGTGTAAATACTCGGTTAGTATTAAAATAGGAGAAGTTAACAGACATTTGCACCTAATGTATATTCACCATAATGTAATATGTAAAGTAATATGGGATACACGATATATGTAAGAACAATATAGACCAGTGGTTCTCAACCTGTGGGTCGCAACCCCTTTGGGGGTCAAACGACCCTTTCACAGGAGTCACCTAAGACCATCAGAAAACTAACAGTAGCAAAATTACAGTTATAGAGTAGCAACGAAAATAATTTTATGGTTGGGGGGTCACCAAAACATGAGGAACTGTATTAAGGGGTTGCGGCATTAGGAAGGTTGAGAACTGCTGATATAGACTGACACAGGTGCTGTATTGGTGATTCAAAGACCGTGAACAGCTTTGCAGAAATAATATGATTTTTCAAAGGTATAAACAAATCATAAAATTTCTAAGTAATAATGCATAATCTTCCCTCAATTTATATGGTAGTTATACACCTAGAAAATTCATCATGTGTTCAAATAGTACAAGCTCCTTGGTGCTTATTAGTACATGGAGTTAGCAGTTGGGCTCGGGTAATGATAAGCAGATTTATACCTAAGTAAAGATGCAACCAGACATTTATTAGTTTGCAGGACATGGGGACATCTTTGGCTGTGCAGAGCTGTTCAGAGCACTGCTCTCTTCTGGCCTTCCTGCCCTGCCTTCTAAGTGCCAGTAATGTCCTGCGATCATTGTGTGATTCAAGGGCAACAGCCCCAAATTTCCCTACATGCCCTCTGTTGGGCGACCCCCCTCCCCCGCAACTGACAACCACTCAATTAATGCTTAGTATTATTTTTAGGCCCAAATAATTATGCTGATGTATTCTCCTGATTTTCTGTAGTCCTCGAAAACCAAAGGTGTGTCTACAGTAAATCCTCCGTAACTAGGTTATTGGGTTGGGAGAACTGAGTTATATACATGGAGACTGTACGTTCTTGAGAGCAAGGGCCCCTTTCATCCGCTGTACAAAATACCTAGTGTTGGCTTTACTGAATCTTTCTTAAATGAGTAAATAATTTGGGAGTTGGACATCTGGGTTAGTGAAAAGATATTTACTATTTGAAAGAAATAGTTTTGTGGCTTTCTAGTACATGTGACAATACCAAGATACTTGCTAGAGAGGATCTTAAGGATTATTACCCCCCCCCCAGGATTATTTTTAAAGTACCATTTCGATTGTTTCTGTTTGAATAATAAGTGGCATTAAAATGCTTGAAAACACCCGGATCCAAAGACCCAGAATCTTCATGTCATTCTCAGTAGGGAAAGGGAAGCTGTTGAGGACCCTGTCTGAGCAGTGACCTTGGCCAAAAAGCTTTGCTTAATCTTCACAGTGGCCTGTGAGGCAGCCATTAGTAACCCTGTTTTTACAAGTGATGAAATTGCGCTCAACAAGATAAACAGTCTGCCCCAAACCTGACAGTTGATTCAACAGCAGAACAAGGTCTGAACCTGAACTGTCTGATTCCAGAGGCTTCATCTCTCTCTTAAGTGAGGCAGAGCTAAGTTTCTGTTCAATCTGTATCTGAAGGACTGTAAGTTATGGTAACGTGAGGTCCAATTGCCATGTCCCCCTTTCCTAGTGGTTCAGTGATTTTGACATTGACCCTGTTCTTGCTTAGGTCCCAGCATTCAAGGACTTGCGTCAACTCACATTAGAGAGATTCTCAAGGACAGAGATGAGGTCCTCGTTGTCTTTGGGTCCCCGGAATCCAACATGGCACCTGGCACAGAGTGGGTGTTCAGGGAGTGTTTGTTGAGCTGACCTTAATGGAATGATGTTTCTCCTTTTAGGCCCTGGCCATACACGATATTTCAGCGAGGCTTTGACCTGGTTTTGGGAGAACAGCCTTCTGATAAAATATTCAGGTAAGTAGTTGTCTAAGGACTTGCTTATGTATGTCTGCAAGCCCTGTGCCCCACTTCCCAGGGAACTTGCTTTCCTAGTGGTGGTGTAGAAAATGACAAACATGTTTAGTTGTCTTGCCGCCTCCTCACAAAAACAAAACAAAACAAAACAAAAAATGAAAGAAATGCTTGGCCTCCCATCATGCCCGTGGATAGCGTGGATGATTTTGAGGTCACACAGATTCTCTTTGGGTCCCGGCTTCCTTCCTTGTCTGCTCTGTGAACCCCAGTAATTTACTTAACTTCTTGGCGCCTCCAGTTTCCACATTTGTTAAATGGGGCTACATTCCATGCCTAACTCTATTGTTGTGAGGAATATAGGCGATAATGGAGAGCCCCTGGCACAGAAACTGGCACAGAACAGGCAATTAATGTCCCTTTCTGCCTCTCTATTGTGCATCTAATTTGCACTTTCCTCATAAAGTCTTAAGTTGTTCAAAATGAGTCTCTCCTGCCCCTGTCTCCTTTTATTAGCAATACTTCGTTAATGTTATTTTTTTTTAATCTACCACCCTTCTGATCAGATTGGATGTCCCTAGTCCCTCCCAAATGTCTACCTCCATGCCTGGGACTAGCACATATTAGAAAAGCCAACAAGCAAAGGAAGAATTTGGGTGTCAGCCATGAACTATTGGATTTTCATAATGTTTGATTCACACCAGGCCTTAGCTGGAACACACATTTATTTCCAAACTAAGATCTTACCATCCATTTAATTTTGTCAATCTGTCCTTCACTTAACGTGCATTTGAGTACCTACTAAGTGCCATAGACTGTGCTTGGCCTGGCAGCATGGACATGAATCCATCTCCCTCCGTGAGGGAGCCCTCTGGTGGAGGAAGTAAATAGTCTTGCAGGAGTAACTGATATCAGAAGATGCACCCGGCTACTGCCTGACATTATGGAGGGGTGGTGAGCAGCGTGGGGCAAATGGAAATCGTGCTTCCTCTTCACTGCACTCAGCAATGTACTGAGTCATACATCCTCACTGCTGCCCTTGCAAACCCCTTCCTCAGACCCTCCCTGTCAGCCGTTCCTGGCCTAGGTGTTCATTTTGCTCCTGCATTTTCTCCTAGAGGTGGCTCTCTGCTTTAGCACCTTCTGCTCCTTCCTGCTCGGTGGGATGGCCTGGGCTTGGCCACGGCAGTGTTCTCCTAAGGGATGCTCTTAGCAAGAGTGCAGATTTACAGAACCACTTCCTCCCCAGGCCTTCCTTGCCCTTTTCTCTCCTGATTGTTTCTTGGGGGGCAGACCAAGTCACATTTATGGCACTGGCCACAGGCCGCTTTTTTCTTTTAATTTTTAAAAAAATTTTATTGGGAAGTTGGGGGAGGGGAACAGACAAGTTGCTGTCCTTTTGTTCTTCAGCCTAGTTGTGGAGGACGTCGCTTCACTGGCCCATGTTGGTATTATCATTGCGCTCTTCCCGGGTGAGGCAGTCGCTCACTGGCCATTGGACAGCTGCTCAGGGCAGCTCACAAAAGCTCACGCCAGCTGCAGGCCAGCCCCACTGCAGCCTATATCATCGCCAGCGACTCACCGCAGCCCAGTTCTAGGTCGAGCTGTTGTTCACCATCTTAGCTGTAGAGGGCACAGCATTACTGGCCCTCATGTGGGATCTGAACTGGGGCCCTGCTGCTCAGAGCTGGCATCCCAAGCCAACTCTTAACCAACATGCCACTTGGCCGGCCCCACAGGCTGCTTCTGAGGGCTTGTGCTACAAGAGCTGTCAGCTCTATTCCTTAGATTATGACTTGAGCATTTAAACTTTCCCACAATGACTTATCAGCTTCCCCACCCCCTTTTTTAACTCCTGACCTGCCAGGACCTTCAAAGGATGATACAGATAAGGCAGATGGAGAGCCCCATGGAGTTGGGTTGATAAACATGGCAAAGCTTCCACTCCCCTAAAAGTCAGAAGCTAACACTTTGAAAAACAAGGGCCTTCATGACATTTCTATTACAGCAGAACTTAACACAAAAACTGTGTTTCCATCCCCACAAGCACCATTTACTCTTTTCAAGTTTGTTAGCTGCCCATTGGATGTGACACCCAAGCACCACAAAGAGGATCAGTTGTGTGGTTTGACCCATGTATCAAATCTCAGGAGCCAATGTGTTAACCAATAAGGGTTTGCTCATTTTGGTCCCTAACATAGCAATCACTAATCTTTCAGATGAAAGCAATGGGTCGTGGTTTTCTGGTTTTAGGTGTTAAGACCTTTAATCAAAACCACTCTGGGATCTGAGTAAACCAACTGGCAATGGCCACTCTGGAAAATTCTACAACCTGGTCAGTGACTATGATTTCTTAAAGAAGCTAATGACTATTTACCTGCTACTCTGCTCACTAGTGACTAAGTGTCCTGATGCATTCCAAGCCACTGCACATTTCCCTGGACTATGGAATAAAATTCAAATTTTGACATTCAAATCTTTCCACAGTTGAATGCCAATATACAACTCCCTTTTAATAGTCTGCTCGTCTCCTATAGAATCTTTCATTCTTAGTTAAATCTATCTTCTAACCTACCCACTGCCCCCAAAACTTGAATATTTTTTACTCTGCACATTTGCCCGTACTCTTTCCTTTAGAAATAATGCATATTTGCTTCCTAATATAAACACTACTGATTTTCATGGTCTACACCAAGACTCAGCTAAAGCCAATGACTACTTTAAGGCACTATTTCAGATGCTGTAGCTATGACCAAACAAATATGACTAAGATAGTTCCAGACTTCAAATAATTTATGGTCTCATCCATGAATCGTTCTCCAGCCTGGCCCTCCATGAGAATCCTCAGTGTGCTTAAAAAATGACCAGTGGTCTGACCCAACACTAAACAACTCATTCCAAAGTTCTGGGAGGTGGGACCAGAGCATAAGTGTTCTTTAAAAGCACCATCGTAATTCTGATCTGTACTCAGGATTAAGACATGCTGCTCTGGCTTCTCCAATCCACTGTACCAATCAATAGTGACATTTCAGCCTCCAAATTTCCATAACATATTGACTGTAATGTTTATTTGTTATTTTATTTCTTATTTATTTTTCATTTGCCTGTTTGTTTCTCCAACGAAATGGTTGTCTTCTTGAGGGAGAGGGCAGTACCCTGTATGGCTTGAAATATGTAATATTTAGCACAGAATTTTGAACATGGTACGCCTTCAACAGGTATCTGTAGATGATCATTTCAGGGGTTTCCTAAGGACTCGAAACCAGATTAGGAGAAGACCTGATGATGCTCAGCCTAACCCAGGTAATCTGTAATCCCAAAGAACCTGGAAAAGGTCCAAGCTAGACTCAGAGGGTCCAAGGGAGAAGACTGACCCTTCTCACCAAACCCAATCTAGTGCCAAGGATGTCCTTTCCATTGTGTCTCAGGTCACTTCATTCCATTGGACCCTCTGGTGGCAGGAATGGCCACAGACCAAATTTCTATCTCAGACACCTTCCTTCCAGTGTGTACCTGCATCCCGGGGAACAGTAACACCCCCTGGAATGGCCTGCTCTGGGAAAGTGGAAATGCCAGGCCAAGAGCGATTTCTCTGTTTTCCCACATTCCATGTCATGCCCGGCCACAGGGAGAGCACAGGCTAATGCTGTCCACTGCTCCCTGGAGAGCATTTGCCTCTGAACAGAAGTTTCAAGCTCTGGTGTAACGGGGCCACGTACAGGACTCAGCCCGCAGCTGAGCCATCAGCCGCGATGGTCACCACCAGCTGTCACGAGAGAAGGCCCAACTCAGGAAAGCATTCCAGATGCTCACCCAGCGTCTCTTTGGTGGCTTTTTGAAGTCGTTCCTGCCAAATCTGCATGAATGAGGGACAGATGAGATTTCAGAACACAGCTTTTCTCTGACAGTTTGTTCTATATTTGGTTTTTGGAGTTAGTAGATTTTGCAGATAAAAGAAAAGTTTAGAATTCCATAGGCCTGAGCCAGCATGGGCTGGAAAGCTGCTGTGAGATACAGAGAATCAGACCAGCCACCGGTGTACCCACTTATGGAGAGCTGACCTTGGAGAGGTTGTTAAACTTCTTAAAATGTTAGTTAATGAATTTGTAAAATGGGCCAAAGGACCAATCTCAGAGGGCCGCGGTGAGGATAAATGAGGCAGCTCCACAGAACACCTGCCCCTTAGAGTTCTCAGTAAAGGTTGGTCTCACCCTACACCTGACGTGGCTTTCCCAACAGGATTGCACTTTGACCGCCCAGAGATGGAAGATGACACTGTTTTCCTTGTTAAGTTGGGACAGCGTCACGTCTCAGACGCTGCCGTGCACATTGGAAGTCCTCGCAATATCAAAACTCAGATCCATTTTGACCATTAAATCTATTGAAACCCAGAGTTTAACCCAATTCCTGCTCTAAAGGAAGGATTATCTTCACCACCGCTTCCACCTTTAAATTTGAAATCTGAGATTATATCCTCCAGGAGCCTGTACAAACTAAAGAACAATATGCTTATTGATCAGTCAATAACTATTTATGAAGTGACCTCCTTGGGCTAGAAATGGTGTTAGGTGGTGGGAATACAAAGATGACAAAACACTGTCCTCTGCCATCCAAGAGATGGCATTCTCCTGAGTGGTGATGGACAGCTGAGAAGACGGGCATGATTCATCACCTCAGGGCAGCCAGGGACCATGTGCAAAGGCACAGAGGAGAGTCCCTTGCTCAGCCTGAGGGCTGAGGATGAAGGTCCTGGAGGGCTTTCTGGAAGGGGCGGGACCTTAACTGAGTATTCAAGGGTGGGACTCCAGCAAAGAAGGACGGGAAGCAAATTCAAAAAGAAAGAACATCAGGAGGAAAGGCGAAGAGGCAAGAAAATGGGGGCCGCTTTAGGAACTAGGGTCAGATGGCACTGGCGGGGCACAAAGTGTGACATCTTTGGAGATGTGAACTTCGTTCTGTGGCCCTGGGGTGCCCTCAAGCAGTTCCACTGGCAGTTCCACTGGTTTGCTTTGCCCTTCCAAATACCACTGCGTGCGTAGGAGGAAGGGAAAACTGAGCTGCATGGCCATGGGTCTCTTCTCTCCCAAAAGAAAAATTCACTGTCAGAAATGTGCCAGAACTGCCAACCGTTTCCTAAAATCTATTACATAAATTATAAGCTGCAGGTCACAGATTTGTTGCTGTGCATCAATGCAAAACTTCTCATTTTAAAACCAAAATAGAAAAAAACTGAAAACAAAACAAAAAATACAAAAAAAAACAAAAACCCTCTAGGTCCAAATAAACTCCTTCCTCCTGGTACCATTCAAACTAGTGCATCTTCTCTCTGAAACACTATGTGATACATAATACCTGTGGTGCCCCCCACCCCATTGTAATGTTGCTATCTCAAGAATGCCCATTCCAAATGGCGAAGTGAACGTAAAACTTGTATGTTCTTGCCTCCAACCCACATTTATCCCAAGTCCCAGATTTCAGGCACCTTGGGACAATCACTTGCCCTGAATATGGGCTCCTTAATCTTGCCAGTGACGTGCGTGGATGTGCGTGTGTGTGCGTGCATATGTGCAAAGGGGCTGTCATGCCTTCAATTTGCCAGCTGCTTCACATAGGAGTGAAGTGGTGATAGGCCTCACCTGGTGCAGACCCCTCCCAGCACAGACATAGCTCCCCCCCCTCACCCCCCTTTGCCTCATGTCCCTGTGAGTGGGAGAAGCTCAGAGCCTTCCTCTGAGCTGCTTAATGTAGAAGTTTTCACAGCAGGTCAGAGAAGTAGGGGACCAAGAGTAAGGCTGGGAATGGGGGAATACAATCTCCCAAACCCTGGCTGTCTCCCACTCTCTCAGGCAGTTTTGCCTCTCCTGGGGGCACCTGTTTTCTTTTCATTCAGGAAGTGGCTGCTTGTAAGTCACACGCCTTGCCCATGGATGTATCCTAGAGAGGGTTACATTTCTCATACATGAACGCAAACCCTCAATCCGGTTTCCTAGCCTCTCAGGCCGCCCCGGGAGTGGAGAGGGGAGCATGTTGGGTTAGGGGACAGAAAGGAGCAGAATTCTGAAAGGGTCCTCTGTGACCAGCATGCTAATGGAGCCTGTGCTGGGCTCTGTTTAATGATATGCATGTTCCCATTGTTCCTCCCTCCATGTTAAGTTGGAAGGGGATGACGCCAAACTGCCACTGCCTGGCGATATCCCACCCACACTGGCTTTTATCCCACAGACTTATTTTTGACTGTGCACACAGAGCATTTGAAGGCCTTTGAAATAAAATGAATGAATAAATAAACAAATAACCTCTCACAGTTTCCTTAAGCTCTCCCTTGAAATGCTGATTGATTCTTTTATTTCTTTTAGCCCTTGTTTTAAGAATAAAAAAAGAGTCTTCCCTGTCTCCCCAGGGTGACGGCCATTAGCTGAGGGTCTGGGTAGGAGTGTGGAGAGTACTCTGGGCCTGTCTCCTTCACCCATCTTCCCTCCTCCTTGGAGGCTCCGGGCTTCACTCCTTCCTGGCCCCCTCACACAGCAGCCAGAAAAGGGGAGGTTTTCTCCTTCCTTTTCCTTGGTAGGACCCCTCCAGGCACGTGGAGAGACCATCCCCATCACTGTGGCTGTGCGAACCGAGGGATGGGGATGACGCAAGGCCGGCGTGTCTCTGCAGTGAAAACGCTTCCAATTCTATCAGACAAACTTGGGAAAGGCCGGCTTCAGACCTGAGGGAAACGAACTCAGTTTCGTGTGACTGGATTACACCCACTCTAACAGCTGGCGAGTGGGTGCCATCACCAGTTCTCCAACCGTGTGGACATGTGAGCAGGAGGTGGCCCCTTCTGCCTCCCTCAGACTCAGCCCTCTCATCCGTGAAGTGGCAGTGAGCTCTCTTTTCTGCAGAGGACTCGGAGGGGGGAGAAGGAAGCCCCTGGCAGGATGGCAGCCCCCCAGCGGGGCGGTCATCTAGAATACCTGTCCTAACCACCTGGTGTTGGGTGTCCCTGCAGATTCACCTACACCCTTGGGGAGGGCATGTGGCTGCCCCTCAGCAAGAGTTTTGTTATCCCACCCGCTGAACTGGCCATCAATCCATCAGCGAAGTGTAAGACGGACATGACCGTGATGGAGGATGCTGTGGAGGTCAGGTGAGTCCCTCCTCAGGGTGCTGGGGCCTGTACTTGGCTTGGGAGGTTGAATGAGAAGCTATCTGAAGGTCCAAGGTGGCTGGGAAAGAAATCCCAACACACTGAAAGGAGAAGGTGGCTGGCTGCCTTCAAATCCCGTCTGCAGTGCCGGGATCTGCTCTACCTGGGTCAATATTGCACACCCCAAGGCCCATGCACTGGGCGAGGACATAAACTTAGGACTTGTAAGCACTCCCCACATCCCCTAAGGACTGACAGGCAATCAAATGTTAATTTCCTAGCCCAAGTTGGTACCTCCCCCTTTGATTAGGCATTACAGCTTTGGCTCAATTCCCAGATATGGAGAATGCCTGTAATTTGTTAGTTCAAGGCCCCGAGTATGGTTGATCTTGGATTTTTGTCCGAGAGAGTGAGACGTGATCTGGCTGGCCAGGCGGGAATGTCCACCTAGAGTCACCTTGACTCCTCCCACCTTCCCCTGCTCTCCCCACAGAGAAGAGCTGATGACCTCGTCCTCCTTCGACAGCCTGGAGGTCCTCTTGGATTCCTTTGGGCCAGTGCGGGACTGCAGTAAGGATAACGGTGGCTGCAGCAAGAACTTCCGCTGCATCTCGGATCGCAAGCTGGACTCCACTGGCTGTGTGGTATGTCTGCCCGGCCAAACTTGTAGCTGGGGAGGGGAGCCACGCAGGACGAGAGCAGGTGGATAAATGAAGGTCTCCTGTGCACCGCAGAGAGGGCCGGCAATGAGCCTCCCTAGCTGTCACCGCCGTCTCGTGTACGTTGTGAATTTTCTCGTCTTGACAGAGACGAGAAGCTAATCACCAGTCAGTTAATCAGGACGTATTTATGAAGCACCTATGAGGTCACCTATAACTACCCAAGGGAAATGTCGTGAATTATGTAGCATGATTCTTTCCCTCCAGCCTTGCAGTCTAGTTGGAGAGGGATGCCCCCAGACAGCTTGAGAACTGATTAATAATAGAAAGATACTGACTCTAATAGGAAATAGACTGTGTTGACTCTAATAGGAAATTCTAAAAAACAAAAAAACTTATGTTTGTCTAGCATCAAATTACATTGACTGTAATAGTCAAATAACATTGTAGGATAAACCTATGTAAGGCCATGATGAAAGAAGTGAGTTTCACCAAGAATGGTCGAGAAAAAGTAAAAATATGTCTGTCCCTTTTGAGACCATGGCAATGAACTCCTGCTTCTCCGAAGGTGACTTTCTACTTTGTTATAAGCTATGTGGGCTTTGGCTCCGTGTAAAATATGTGATGCTATGAACTAGGAAGACTATTTGGGTTAGAGTGGACTAAGATATCTCCCATGCCATCGATATGCAGATTGATTGAACCACACAAGTCAATGGAGGCAGGAGCAGATGAAGCCATCAGCTGTTGGTGCCTTTATATCATTGGTCATTTTCATGCCCATCAACACTGGCGTCTGTTTCCAGCCCTTTCTTTGTCTAGGGGCAGAATGATGCCATCCTCACAGATTGGAGAGAGAATGGGGCAGAAAAGGAAGGCAGGAAAGCCATGCAGAAAGTGGGCATAAAGGAGGGGGAGAGATGATTTGCTGAGGCACATAGTTCTTCCGTGTTTCCGGGCAGGGCTGGTAGCTTCTGGGTCTGGCGTCTCACCTTACTTCCCAGCCTGACAGCTGTGCACTTGTAACGGGACCCAGAGCAGGGACAACCTGTGAGGATGCTGGACTGATTCCACGGTTCACACCCCCCACCCCATCTCTCAGCACCTGCTCTGCCGAGGGAGCCGTTCTCAGCCAAAGATGGATGTGTGCCTGGGACCCAGGGTGGGGCTCTGGCAGGGTGAGCCTGGCAGGTTCGTCAGAAGGAGGGGAAAGCTACCAGAGGGGACTTTCAGGAAAGGAGAAAGCAAAGTGTCCCTCAGGCCAAGTCTTCCAGAGGCAGCCGGTGGGGGGGGAGGTGATGCTCCCCTGCCTTTGGATGGTCCACTTTCAGATGTCTGCAGCACTGAGCTTCCGACTGGGCCCCTCAGGAGACAATTTCACTGTCTAATGGAGCTCCCCACTGAGACACTTTTTTTTTTTTTAAGCCTGCATGTCTTCATCCAGATTTCAACCTATCATTTTACATTACTCTCTTGGGTCATTCTAAGTATTGGAACGCTGTTTGTGCACATGCGTGAACATCCTTCACACCCCCCACCCCCAGGCCTTCCCATATGAGTTTGAGCATACTTATACTGGGTTGTCGGAAAAGTCATGATGGTTTTTTTCTATGTTTTTAGTTGCAAAAATGCGTCATGACTTTTCCGACAACCCAGTACATTCGTGCACACGGACATACTCCCCATATCTTCCCACCGCCTTGCCCCTCTCTTGAGCCCCTAGGGTTTGCCTGTCAAAAGCCTCTGTTGGTGATCCTACCCCGTTTGACTCGGCATATAGCTGTATAGCTGTGCTGATGTATTTTTGTACTTTTAACACTGCTATCTGTGAGACGGAGTTAGCAGGAATAGTTCTGATGAATATGCATTTGCTGTAACAATTGGAGCCACTGCAGAAAGTCACTGGATTATACCAGTGCTTGGTATTTGCATAATACTTTGAAGTCACTGGTCCATGTGGCTCTTGGAGGGAGGAGAGGGACAGGCTGACTGGCAGGCCCTTCAGTTGACTGTTTTTCATTGGCTTTGAAGCACATGACCCCTGATGCAGGAGGTCCGATGGGCTGAGAGCTAATGTGTCACATCATGACTCTGTGACCCTACTGAGAATTAGATCAGGGACTGTACTTTGAGCTGACCTGACTGCCCTGGGTATTGGTACTATCCCAAAGTCCTGGTGTAGAGCAGAGCAGTCCCCTGTCACCTGGATGTGGACCAGGGACAAAGGCATCAGCTGCATCGACTGCTTTTCTCCTCTCACAGAAACCCTGACATTCTGCTGGCTGGGTGCTGAGCTGAAAGGCTTCTCAGGAAAGGCGTGTCTGTGAAAGGAGAACGCCGTGAGGAACTCAGAACACACGGGCCCTTAAGGAACCTGGGAAGGGGTGGAGATGGGGGGAGAGGCAGAGCACCTCTTGTTTTCCTGTTGAGTGCAAGGCAGACAGGTGGGGTTGGTCCACGTGGGCCACTCTGCCTTCCTTCTTTCCAGGAAGGCAGAGCATGTTTCTCAGTTATGCTTGGACTCCCACAGGGCTAATTGCTACCCAGTTAATTGCCCTAATGTTTCTATAGTCTCTGAGGACAGGAAGCAAATACCCGTGAAAGGCACAGACCCGGACCAGCCATAATCGCTCCATTCCAAACCAGACCTAGCTCTCCAAAAGTGGGGACTGATGAACCCCTGAGAGGGTTCCCAGAATGGAGGTCAGCCCCCACGGATAACTGCGTCTTCTTACTTCTACCCACTGTGCTTACTGTGCAGAGCGGGGCAGTCGTCCCCACTCGGAAGGAACACGAGCAGTGGTTCTCTGTTCTGTGGAGCCCCACAGAGTCCAGCAGAGTCACTGTATCAGTGTCCTGTTGCTGCTCTAACCAATTACTGCAGGTTGAGTGGCTTAAAACAACTCTCATTATCTTACAGCTCTGTACGTGAGACTCCAATAAGGGTCTCACTGGGTGTCAACAGGGTTGCATTCCTTTCTGGAGACTCTAGGGGAGAATCCATTCTTGGCCTTTTGCAGGTTCTAGAGGCCGCCCACTTATTTTGGCCCATGGTCCCTTTCTTCCATCCTGATAGCCAGCAACAGTGCAGTTTTCTAACCGTTCCTCTGTCGCATTCCTCTCTCCTCTTTTGTTTCCCCTTTCCACTGTTAAGGACTCATGTGATTACATCGGGCTCACCTGGGTCATCCATGATAATCTTCCCATCCCAAGAGCCTTAACTTGATTGGCAAAGCCCCTCTTGTCAACTGAAAGGTGACACGTTCACAGGTTCCTGGGATTATGTTGCAGACAGCGACAGCGTTGAGGGGCCATCAGTGGGAGGTGGCAATGGGGACTGGAGCCGGCCTGGTAGGCAGGACTCTAGTCTGGCCACTCCTAGCTTTAACCAGGGCACCTTTATTCTTATCAAGCCTACCTATTACGGTTTAATATGCAACTTTGTCTGAAAGTTTGGAATCAATTTCCAGTGCTAAAAAACAATGGAAAGCTCACGCTCTGCTGCTCCTTTCTCATCCGCACACTCCTTCCGAAAGGGGCCCCAGCATGTCTGCTTTGTGACACGTCTGCATGAGCCTTGGTGAGTGGACTGTGGCCTTGGAAGGGAGAGGTCAGCTGTCCAGCTTTCTCGTGTTGCACACATGACCTTCCCTGCCAGAGCATTATGCTCTAATGAGCTTTGAATTACCCAGTGACCCCGCTGCCCTTCTGGCCACATGCCGTCCACAGTGGCTTCCCACCCGATGTGTCATTTCACCTCTACTCGAGCGCAGATGTGCAGAGACCATTACAGATGACTCTCTCGCTTTCCCTGTGTAGGGCACTAAGCAGAAGAGCGTGCCTCAGAGGCTTAAGCGGGTAGGGAGCCGAAATACAAATTTAATTCCATCAAACTTTTCTTCTTTGCAGAAGTCCTGACTGGCTTAGGCTTACCGTGTCAGAGCCCATGAGAAATTTGGGAAATCATTATTTGTGAAAGGAATAAAACTGTCATGTAGTACAAGAGAGCCTATTTCGAGCAGGAATTATGGTTGCGTGTTTCATGAATCGCCCAGGTAAGGCGAGGCAGACCCCTAGGCAGGAAGTTGTCCCTCTTCTCCCAGGGCCCCAAATACAGTCGTGTGTCCATCACTCACACTCCTGCTGACAGAGCAACCAGCTCATAATCTGGAACGGAGGTGTGTGTGTGTCTCAGGCTCGGCGACATGTGACTAGACCCCTAGGTAATTAATCAACCAAAAACCATTGGTAAAGAAAAAGAAGGGAAAGACGGTCAAGAAAAGGAGTCGAATGGGGGAAATCATTTTAATCTCGTTAGCAAATGATGCCTTAGACCAGTAATAAGTCAAGAAGCTGTGAGCATATCACGAAAGATGATTAACCTTGTGTATTTTAGGGGTCACTGAAATTTGAGCTCATTTATTAGACCTTCCTGATGGGGGAGGGTTGTCACTGTAACACATGGAATTTTCTCTTTAAGCCTGTAGTGCATAAAGGCCCTGGGACTGCTAATTGTAGCCTGTGCAAAGAGAGGTTAATGTGTGACCTTGGGACTCAATCGCGAGCTAACAGTTCTCTTTTAAGGAACAAATAGAGGGATTGTCCACACGCCAGGGCAAGAGGAAGGCCAGCACGTGCAGAGAGAAAACACAGGCTCCTCGTGCGGGCGGGATTTGTCGCCCAACTCGGCTCTGGCTGTAGACTTCTAGGAAGAGGGTATGGTTCAGAGCCTGCAGTTTCTTTGTATTTCGATACAGATTTTGAGGAGCCCAGAATGTGAATACAGAGCACAAGGAACATTTAGGCAAAAACAAATTCATGCCATGGGAAACTTGACTGATGAGTCTTTTGAGGAAATGGTTGTTCTGGTTCAATAAGGGTTAAGAAGAAAACTCTACTTTTGGTTTCAGCTTTTTTTCTGGAAACCTTTCAAAAATGTTTTACTCTGAACTGCGGCCCAAGTAAGTTACAGTGAAGTAAAGATA